AAAGAGTAGGAGGAAAGGACTACTGAAAAAAAAAATCCTTCTCTTCTGTTACTTGCCAGTGCCTGATTTTAGGGGGAGATGTTGCTCAGGGAAGACTTGCTATTCAGTATAAAGTGATAGGAAGATGCCTTGCTTTGTCTCACTGACTTGATTACCTTTTAAACCTTCTAGTCAGTTCTTAGCTGGCAAAAGAATGATAAAATATTAGGGGAGAAAAGGCTTTCATTTTAAAACATTCTTATAATTGTTAAAGCCTTCCTCTGTAATGCATTCCTCTGTAATGCACTTTGGCGTTAGTTTGGCATTTTAGACATTTTACTTCTGGTGCTATCTTAAGTTATTTGACTGCCGTCTGTCAGTATATGTCTGATCATGCTCGATACTAATTAATTTGAGAGTAACAAAGCGTTAATAATTTTATTGTAAAACTCTTTTTATTGTTAATTTGGCCAAGGTTTCTTCCTAAATCCCATGGGAACAGCAGACTTCTCTTGCTGTTCTTCTGATATTGTGCAAAACTCTGTTTAGAATAGTTTTAGTCCAGAGGAAGCCAGGTGTGTTTGTTTTAAGTATCACTGTCGTTATAGAAAGGATGTGTTAGCAGACAGGATTGTTGGACAATATTTCCAAAAGGCAGTCACACTGGTATGACTCCTGCTGCTTTCCAAGATTTGTACAGTTCTCAAAGCAGGAGTTGAGTTTGCAAGATGGGATGACTACAGACATGTGACATGATGTTGTACGGAAACTTTCTTCCATCTTGGGTCAGATTCACCTGATCTCAGAGGAGACTGCTTATACTCTTAGAAGAACAGTTCCTGTTTCCTCCTCCATCCTTAGGGTTGCCTTGCTTAGAGCAGAAACAGTCCTCTTCCATGCTGTGCATAGGTAAGATTCAGCTACCTCTACCCCATGACTTGTAAAGCTAAACTCCGGTTCAGTAGGCAGAGAAAAGACAAGACTGCAATCCCTCTTCACCACTGAAGGGTGAGCAGGTAGGACAGAAAAAGCAATGACCTTGCGCAGGCCTCCATGGGGGTGAGTCCTTCCTCTCTCTTGGCCTGGCTGGAGCTTCCTGGCACGCAGTGCAGCTCCTGCCTGGGGTTGCATGCTTGTAAATAATCTGCTCCTTTATCATGCGATGGGCCAAGCAGTGATTGCCCGAACTTTACTCTTTACTTGAGAATGGGAAATGAATGACCTAGATGGGAAGAACTTTAACTAAAAAAAAAAAGGCAGGTCTAATCTCTGTTCTGCTGACTGAATAGCATTGATTTCAAGGTCTACAGGCTAAAGGAAAGCACACAGAAAAATATATATTGCTTTCCAAGTGGTTGGTGAAAATCTAAAAAGGAGAGAAAAGGTTTGGAGCTGTTTTAAAATAACAAAAATCTTCCTTTACAGACTTACAAGCATTACTCATCTATTTAAATACAAACAAGTTTCCCTCAGTTGAGTTCCCTATTTGAATTGAGTAGCTTTGGATGTGGCCAGTATGGAGGGATGGACTATGGATTCAATAGTCTCTAAAGTCATCTTTGTAGTAAACTGAGACTTTTACCCAATCAGGTTTCAGAAAGATCTGTTAACATCACCCATTCTCTTTTTCATTCTCATGCACTGCACCTCCATAGTTTTGACCCAGATCAGGAGGCGTCACAGTATCACATAATTTTTTTTCCCCTGATTCTGTCTTCCCAAATCCATGCAGAGGAAAACTTTATCTAGTGTGACTACTTGTGAAGGTGAGGTGACAAAATCTGGCTGTGGTGCTTCCAAGTCAGCTGAAAGGAAGCAGCTAAGGAATTTTAATCTTCTTTGGCTGCATAACTCAAGGCAACTATTCAAAGAGGGAATAATTGCTGCTGGGACTCTTAAATAGCACTCTTAAGTCTTACTGCGGCTTGTAAGATATAGGAATTCACAACAGCACTGCTCCAGCATGTCTCAGCACCTTGTGAGGTTTAGTTACCATCAGTAAATACAAATTATGCATCATTTTGACAAGCATCTCTTATATAGTATCCTTTATATGTTGACTACCTAATGATTGGCTTTTATTTAGTTAGGAGAATAAAATGTTATGCTTAATTTTGAATGTACTTATCATATTCATTCTTTCACAGGTTTTCCCTCTGCTCTGGTATTTTTCACACTTCAGCTTGGATCAGCAGCCTGGACATTTGGATTGTTCTTGACCGCTCCAGTTTGCTGCATCAAATGCACTGTGGTGCTGTTCAGCATCCAGGAGAACTTATTACTTCTGCTATAAAGAATGTGGACATAAAGACCAGCCTTCATATTTTTGTCCTTGAACTATTTTCTGCCTCAGAAAAAAGCTATGTACTATTGAATAAGGTCCTAGAACATAATTTAGAAGCACGAGCAGGAGAAAAAAATCTCCCTGAATTGGGGGGAAAGACATGCTTCTTGAACATTATTAATTTGAATCATGGAGATATATAGGAGCAGATATTTATAGGATGCAGTTGATGTGTGACTTAGTACCAAATAGAAATTCTTCAGAAAGTCAGCTCCATCTTTGCCAAGTCATCACGACTCTCTTAGTAGGCCATATTTTATAGGGAATTACTCGGCACGTGTATGAGCTTTCCCAGTCCTAAACTCTTTTAAGCTGCATATTTCTTCTGCAGTGAAAGGTGGAGACAGTGTAGTCCATGAGCTGCCTAGAAGGCATTAAAACAACATTCCTCATTTTTGGAGGACTGTATGGTGGCATGCAGAAATCTAATGTTCCATGGAATTCATGTTTTTCCATTTTCTTGAGCAAATAATTCTGTGTATGCAGATATATGAACTTGCAGTCTTGAATTCACAGTACTGCAAGTCACAATCTATTTTATCTACTAGCCTTTCTGTCTTAAATGAAGAAAAGCTATATATTATTAACATCTTGAATTTGTGAAAAATGTAATGATTTGTGATTAAAAATGTTATTTTGAAATGTTGAAAATTGATTATTAAAATCTATTTGTTTAAAACAGAAGAGTCTCAATTCTGCGAAATAATTATTTTCTGACAAACCCCAGAGAGGGAACTGCTATGGTATTTCTCTTGAAAGAGGAATATATTAAATCATAAGCTTGAAGAAGTGATTTGCACAGTAGATGGATGAGTGTTTTGAGCCTTTTGGCATGCATCGAACTTCTTCCAAATGAAGAGTCCTGTCTGAAATCCAGTGGGTGCTGCATATAACTATCACATGCATGCCTGTATGTTCACTCTAGCAGGACAACTGGCCAGCTGTTATATTTGTGGCCACAGCATAACTCTGAAACTTTCATCCTTCATCATCCCAGGGGTTGCAGTGACTGGAGCAGGAGACTGAAAGCTCTAGGTTCAGTTCTGCACTCCCCTACCGGCTTGTTTTGAGACCTCAGCAAGATATGTAACTGCTGTGTGCTATTTTCCAGTTTGTCATTAAAGGTAGATAGCATCTGTCTTATTAGCACACTGTAGGATTTCATCCAGTAATATTTGTGCAGTGCTTGGAGATTTTTCTGCTGAAGGTGGTATTACTACCAGTTCCCAGTTCACCTGTGCTGCAACATAAGTAGGAGCTTTTTGAGATCTCAGTTAATTCCCTAAAATGGCTGTTTATCTCCTGATTGAGATTTAGTAATTCATTTACCGATGGCCAAAGGTTTTTGCAAGGGGATTGTCTTAACCTACAGGCCTGGAAGAATCACTTTTGCATCTTTACCAGCCAGGGGTAGAGTATATATATTCCACATAGTGCTCTGCAACAGATGGATTAAACTTGATCTTGCACCAAGTGCAAGAGAGAATTGACTTTCCTCTTGAGAAAGTTTTAGCTGCAAGGCAAGGAGGAAAATTAGCCAGGTAAGTTGAAGATGGTTTTCTGGCAGAGGAAGTAGCTGAGAGCAATCCAGAGCTTTACACAAAGTGAAAGCAGCAGTGAGAAGCTGCTGTGACAGGGAGGGCTTTCCCACCTTGCACTTCTCCTGAGGTCCTCCGGCAAGCTGCTCTGTTTCAGTTTCATCAAAAGGGGAAAAGCACATTTCTAATACTGAGTTCTGCAAAGTGTTTTGTATATGAATGGGTTTGTGCTGTTCTCTTTAGGATCTGAGATGCATGAAGTGACCCTGTTTCTTTTAGTGGGATTCCTGTAATGACATTTGTGTTTCTATTACTTCAGCTATTTCACTACTCGTATCTGGCTATTTCTGTTAAGGTTTTCACGGGGAAAGTCAAAGATTAGATGTGAAACTTGCTTTATTTTCACTCAGATCTGAGAGAAAGACTTGTTACAGTAATGCTCTTTCAGACTTCCGAACCTGGTGAGATAGGCTGCTTTCCTTCATCTAGAAAAAAGGAGCTGTTTGATTTCACTTGTGGCATAGCAACTGTTTTCTTTATCGCAATGAAGGAGGGAAAGAATTTAGAAACTACTCACTGTAAAAGGCATGGGGAAACTAGGAATGCCATTATTTCCGTCCCTTTTTTAGCAACAGAAGGGTCAGTGTTGTAACAGCTGGATCAGATCTAGGTTTTGATGTTGGCCCATTAGAGGAAGAAGAGATAAGTCTGACTTTAACTGTCTCCTTCTAGCCTCTTAAGGTACATGTAATGCTAATATAGAGAAATGAATAATCTGTGCATTAACTCAGGTAATAACTTATAGATGCCAAAATGGACTGTTTTGCATTTGTAGCAAGGCAATCACTGGAAGTCAGGCAGTATCCCGTACTGCTTTCTGTCTTTGTCTCTAGTCTGATATTGACTACATGGAAATTGCAATAGCTTCGGGGTAAGGAAATGAAGTGAGACTTCCCTCTCTCTGTAGTTGTCGTGCTGAGGTTGGTGAGCAACCTGGAGTCCTTGTGGACTCTTGGGAAAACAGCAAGTAGCAACAGAGATGGAAACTTAAGATACTAAATTGCTTTGCTTCCTACGGAGATGTTTTATCAGCCCTTCCTGGACAAGATCCTATGTGTGAAAGGTTTTTGCCTGTAGGTACAAAATGTGTAAGGTTGTAAATCCTAATCTGTAGGCAAAAGCTACTTGTTACTGAGCATTAATGTTGAAATAACTGATTTGATTTGTCTGGCGAGTCTTAAATCCACTCCTTAGAACAGTAGGACACATCAAGCAATCTTATCTACCTATTACTTAGGCTCAGTCCTTTAACCTCAATGGGCCTGTGTAATGGATAATGCAATTTCCTAATATCTGTTTTCTTCTGGAGGAGAGGCTGGAGGGTAGCAATCATTGTTGTATGGGCTGTTACGCTTAAAATCTTGTTTATGGGCAAAGAGGAAGCACAGTTATATTTAAGCAAAGCCAAGAATTTATAGTTAGCATAACTGAAGTATTAAGAGTTTCAACATTACTAGTCCAGATCTAATTGTTACAGAAAAAAGAATAATATTGCAGTTGAAATTGTTATATTCACAGTTCTTCGTTTTGATCCCTTTTCCTGATGTTATGCTCACCCTTCCTCACCACTCCTCTGGGTCCCGGGGTTGGTAGTGCCCTTCTGGTAGTGGTGGTGTGGGGATGTTAGGGTGAACCATTGATTTGCAGAGTCCTTCTCTGGGGGGAGTATGATGTTCATGTTGACAGTTTCTTCTTCCTCCCACTAGGGTCCACTTTGGGTCATTTTTTTATGTTTGCTAACATATATTTACACCTTTGCTCTTCACTGGTCTGCATTTCCACATTACATTTATATTTACTACATATGGTGCCTTTTCTGTGGGTTAGATACTATTTTCTTGTTATCTTTGTTGCCCCTAAAACCAGGCTTGTCCAGCTCCAGATCTACATTTCTTTTAACTTACTGTAGGTGAGTGGTTTATAGCCACGGAGTCTCCAGTGCCAGCGTGTTCCCCATGTCTTATCACCCCATGCCTGTTCTCCTCTATGGTACATCCTGTGTCCCTGCTTCTCCAGGCCTCTGCTATCGTATCAGGCCTGTATTTCTCTACACTGCATTATTTGTATTAGAGTCATAAATGTCTCATTCCACATACACTAACAGCTTGTTACTGCTATCAATATAAAACTAGGGTTATGGCATACAAAGGTAAAGAAAAATGAAACAAACTAGCTATAGACACCTCATCAATTACAAAAATTGCTATCATAGCTAAACTAAGTAAAACAAAGCTGCAGGCAGGTCAAGAAAGGTTTAATCAGAGCAAGCCTGACAAGCCTCAGACCTGAGGCCTTGCAAACTCAGTACAGGGCTTAAGGCCTGTTAGTAACAATGTCAATACCATATCAACAGGCTACAAAGTTAGAGATGATCCAGAACTCTGGGAGGCTGGGATAAATTTGTACTATTCTTTATCTCTCACAGAGAGATATTACCAGGGAGAATTATAATCAGGAATTATTTCGTTAGGCAGAAAGGAGCTGTTGATGTCAGAAGAGTGCAGGCATGCTGGACATATCTCCAGGAAATCGGGTCCCACTAGTCCTGCTGCCCACAGCACCAGGAGCCCAAGGGTTGTAACATCAGACGCTGCAAGGGAGCAGACCATGCCATCCCGTCTTTTATTTCCACGTTGGACCTATTGTCCACACTACTGAAAGCTGCCAGCTACTGCCTTGTCTTGGCCATCTAGAAGTGGTATATACACCTATTTCAGAGTGCCCAGGGCACAAGGTGGACTGTGGAAACATACAGGAGGCAGTGGTAGCTCTGCCATTATTTCTGGCACTGTTAGAAGTAGATGTGGATGAGCATGGGGAGCACACAGGCAGCATTTGGACCCTGCTTGGATCCTGCTTACAAAGGCAAATCTCTTTGTCTATACCAAAGCCTATCTGCAGTCAGAGTTTTTCCACAGGTGCCCAAGTCTGTGGTCTGTTGCTTTAAACCTGCTGCCTTTTAAGGAGTTTACAGGTAAAGCTATGCTGAGAGTTGGCATTAAAGGAAATGTTAAGACATGTTGAAAATGCATATTTTACAATGCAAATAATAGACAGGTCAACCATGCTGTTCCTCTCCCTGATAGAGATTTCCTTTTGATTAGGTTACATTTTCCAGATAAAGTGTCCTGTTAGGTAACATGAGGCATGGCAAATTTCAGTTTGTTTGTTTTTGGTAGAACTGGGACAGGAAGTGGAAAAAGGGTTCATATTTGGCAAAGTTCATGCTTGCACAGAGATTAGCATTTTTCCTGTTATTTCACAATAGGTCATTGCAGAGATCTCTGTTTCCATCAGGACAAGTGAAATTAAGAGTCTAAATTGTGTGAACACTAACAGAGAAACAAACTCCTTCATACTTGTAGGTTTAACAGCTATTAAGTGTTTTTTCTCACCTCTCAACCTTCTCACCCTCATTTACAATGGCCCTTTGCTGTGGTGATTTATGGCAAGTACTACCCATACAATGATTTTTTTTTAAACCAACAATTCCAAAAGGAACATGGTTGAGTCCATGGGAACTGATTGTACAAACTCAATCACTGCTGTTCCTTCTGGCCCTCTGTTCTATAAATCCAAAATTCTAGTTAATAGATTTATAAAGTAGAAACCCACAAGGGACCATTAGCTCATGTGGTCTGATGGCCCGTATATCACGGGCAATTGCATTTTATGCAGTACCCTTTACTAAGCCCAGGAGTGTTTATGTTTGGATAAAGCATGTCTGCCAAAAAGGCATTTAGTCTTGGCTTCAACATATCAAAGTAGGAAGAATCAGCAAATTGCACAATAGTCATTACTTTCTTGGTTAATTACTTTCCTGGTTAAAATGCGTGTCTTATTTCTGATTTGAAGTTGCCTGGTTACACCTTCTGGGCATTGCTTCTTATTACGCTTTTTTTGGTAAATTAGAATTCATTAATACCCAGCTTATTGTTGCTATGTAGCTTTCCACAGAAAAGGATGAGGGGTCTATTTTGACAGAACAAACTGTTCAA